CTTAATACACTTACAACATATTAACATCTAGCTCATCCCTACATTTCATCTGTTCTGGGCTTATAAACTGCTGTACCATCAACGCTGCTCATTAGTCTCCACTTTTGCTCAATTTTCAGTCAACGGTTGAGGGGACATATATACTGGCACACACACACACACACACACGCTGCTAAGAAGCTTCTAAAATCTTCTAGAATAAGGTTCAGGTCAGCTGTGAAGGTTCTGCACTAGTGAGGCGAAGGTCACGAATTTAAATCCCAGGAGGCTTTTAACCTTGAAGCGGATTACTGCATCATTTGTACATTGTTACGGATAAATGTAAAATGAAATGGGAGCTGAGGAGCCTTGTGAGGACTCAGAGAAAAAAAAACTAGCTGCTCCTCCCACCCAACGTGAAGGATTAATCTAATCCCAGACAATCATCACAGCACTGATATACTCATGAGTTGAGAACAAAAAATCCAGTTGTAAACAATGGCCTATTAGGACGGACACATGAATAAACCCAGAATCTGTAAATCATCAGCATGAATCAAGGACCTGAGGAAATATCGAGTTATACAACTGTATCATACAGAAAGAAATACAATTTTATCTGTATTGCTATAGCATCGCAGTACCATGATTTGATTATATAAATCATTAATTATTTTAGAAAATATTGGCTGCTTAGAGTTTATTATATCTATAAGAGATCCATAAACATTTCTGGAATGTTTATTGCAAATACCTTCTAATTGATTTTTTCCTTTATCATTTAGAAACTATTCTCTGTATGTCTTTTAGCATTCTGAATATTTCTGTTCTTGATTACATTACATTAGTCTATCTATACATTTGTAATTAAGACATTTGACTCTATTTAAATTTTGGGGGCTTCTGGACACCCCAGACCCTCTTTAATATCTCAAAAACATACTTAACATTGCCTTATCAGCTTATTTTTCTAATATTTCATTCCGTGATGTTTTGTTTGGTATGACTGAGACACCAGCTACAGAGGATTAAATTTAGCTGCCAGGGAGGGGAGTTGTATGTACAGTATTTTGTAGATTTGTACATAACTGAATGTTGTGAGTGGTCAGACAGGCAAATTATCCAATATTTTCAAATATAGCAAATATAGTACGTTCTTTCTGGGGCCAAACATTTCTATGCATTATTTTTAGCAAATATATAAAATATAGCTTTGCCTGTATACAGCCCATGTAACATATAAACCTTGAATCATTTAATTATTTGGTGTAGATTTGCAGATTTCACCACCGTCTTTAACACAGAAAATATGGGTTATGGCATGAGACCTTTTCTATCTACATGGTTATAAAAAAAGGTCAAGAGAAAAAAGATAATTTAATTGTTTTTTTTTTCTAGACATACTGTATTGGGGACTCTGGAACCCCAAAATCTTCTGATGTTAATGACCTTAATCAATGTTAATCATGGACGTAAACGCAGATGTAAATGACCTCAAGCAAAGACAATCATACTTATACTTTTGTGTTTATGACTTGTTTAATTCTAAAATATATAATAGAATACATATACATATTTTAGATAAATGAAGCAATTTGGTTTTTTTCCATTTAATTCTTGGCTTGTATTTGTTTCCTCTGGCTTTAACCACAGCATTAACTAAAGCTTACGCAAAAAAAAAAGTCAGGCATTCTATAAAGCATCATCACAGAAACAAACCAAACACGCATACAAGCACACACACACACACATACACACACACACAACACACTCCATTATAAGACTCATATCCTAAAGTAATCCCGACCGCACAGCAGTGCCCATTGTTTCAGCTGTTTCAGCAATGAGCTGATGGAAAGACAGGGAGGATGAGGAGATGGATTTGTATTTTCATCATAATGACAGAAAGAGAAATCAGATTTGGAGGTAATATATAGAGTTAGGAGAAACAGAGAGAGAGAGAGAGAGAGAGAGAGAGACAGAGAGAGAGAAGAGAGAGAGAAGCAGTACATTGATATATTGTATCGTATAAAGAAAAGAGTACTAAACTCAGTGCTAGATAAGAAAAAAGAGATTAACAGAACAGACAAAATGGAAAGAACGAATGAGTCAGAGAGATAGCGAGGTGATCTGTTCCACCTGCCATCTTAATAACCCTCCTTTTCTGTTTTAAGGTGGTCTCCACATCCATAACCTGCTTACTCAAGAGGCTGTAATCATTTTGGAATGCTCGTTTATCTGCTATACCCTTTTAGCTCAATGCTTTTCCTCTACAAGGTCAGAGTGAAAGCTACAGAATAAACATCCTACTAGACTCGACACTTGTTTCACTGTATATTCTTGGGAGCTTTTATTTCTAACTGCGCTTATATATGTTTGGAATACCAGAAAAGTCTCCCATCAGCCAACAGATTCAGAACATCTACGTGTAATCTATGTTTACTTGGTAGCCTACAAGGCATTTACTTCTACCCACTTTTTTTGTCGAGAAGAAAACTTGGATGTGTGAAAATGTTTACAGCTATTAAGTTTTTCTTTTCTTATTTGCGCTTTATAATGCAACGCCGGCCGCTCCCAGTAGAAAATGGATCGTATATATCACTTGCTTTTTGGATTATCTGAATTTGGATTCTTTCACACACACACACACACACACACACACACACACACACACACCACAAAACTTATTAAGTGACAAGAGTCTCTCTGTCTCTATCTATATCCGCAGTTGCACAGAATGTGACACACATCCTATTCATTTATTCAGAAAGCAGGCAAATCAATAGCTATGTATGGATGCCTGTGCACACTGTATTCACCTGATATGTTTTAAACACACTGAAGGGGAACCAGTTAAAGACCTAGACCCATTAACAATCTAACAGCATGGCTATTATTCTGATAACACTCCTGGATATGGATTAAGTTGGCCTGTTTACAGTTTGCATATTAGCCCAACAGGGCGTGGGCCTCCTTTCTCTTTATGGAAGCGGATCCTGCGCCATGGAAAACAATACTACTCGTCTTCATGACCATTTCCTAATCTTAAACAGATCGGGGGTGCATTATACCCACGCAATTAAGGGCCCAAGAACCAACAGACGCATCATCAAGGACGCTAAAGACTCGCGGGAAGATCATCATCATCATCATCATCATCATCATATCCATCACCATGTTTTTCTCTACAAGCAGCGTAGGTATAAAGGGATAATAATAATAAAAAAAAACACACCCAGCTTAATCTGAGGCCACGGGTTTAAAACATAATAATAAATAAATAAATAAATAAGCTGAGAAGGATGAAAAGGATGCTGCCTTTGCTTACCTGCAGCCCGGAGGAGAGAGGGAGTGGAAGGTGGAGAGGGAGAACATCTCGGCTCTGTCCGCCATCTTCATCCACTAAACGCGTCGGAGCGGCGACTGCGGAGGCGCGTGGCCCATCCACAGACGGCGGGGACGGAGGCAAACGAACACCAAGCGTCGCCCTCTCGTGCGTGTCCGTGTGTGTGTGTGTGCGTGCGTGCGCGCGCGTCACCCTCTCTCTGGCCACACTGCGGATGCGATTACCGGGCCCGACCTCACTGATTCAGGCGCGCGCGCCGCTCTGTAGCATCAGATCTGATCCAAAAGTCGAGAGGATATTTACAATAATAATTCTTCTTCTTTTTAAACAGAGAGTATAGATGATGTGAACAGATGAACAGAATAACCTCCGTGCTGCTTTCGGGTCCGGCCATGCACCTGATCCGGATGCTGACGGGGACAGCCGGAGCGCGCTTTGGGAAGATGGATTGATCTGGTTGAACAACACGGATGCGTGAGATCTGCAGCGTGATGATGCTGTTGCTGTGCGTGGGTATAGCGAGCGCGTGACGCCGTTCAGCGAAAATCGCTGCAGATCTGGGGAGGACCCGTGAGCGTGCGCGCCCCCTGCCCATGCGCGCTCCCGCACCAGCAGCGACCTCTGAGTACAATAATCACAGGCCTATAGGTCTTTCAGTATTTTCCATAGCTTGATGACAGAAAAACAGTATTCACACATGAATTCATTAGGACAAGTCGTTAATCCCTTTAATGTGTAGGCCTAATGTTTGAGCTGAGAACAAGGTGTTCCTCAAAAATGAGCTGAAGGTCATTGGGGCAGTTATTTCCATCCATCCATCAATCCATCTTCTATACCGCTTTATCCTTTTCAGGGTTACGGGGAACCTGGAGCCTATCCCAGGGAGCATCGGTCACAAGGCAGGGTACACCCTGGACAGGGCGCCAATGGGGCAGTTATTTATCAGACTAATTTAATTCAGTCTCTATATTTGAGTTGGGCAAATCCACTTCTAGGGGAACTTCCATGTTGTCTAAGCCTTCCTGCCATTAATAAAACAAATCCCCCAGCACATATATGCTTCATTACTTAAATCCTCTTATTTATGTGAGGGGAAACATGTTTTTATCGTATTCTAAAGACGTATGGTTTACCCTTTTGTCAAGACTGACTGAAAACCATTTTTAGTGGTTTATTATCATTGGTTTGGGACTTTCAACACATTTAATTGTTTGACATGTTTTAATACATTAACACACTAGGCTAAGGAACATTAACTACATATTAAAATGCTGGCGTAAGTAACATACTACTGTACAATTCATTTCTTACAGCAATAATAACAATAACACAGTTTAGGAGACAGTGTAAAGCGCTTTGGATAAAAGGGCTATATAAGTGCGCCATTTGCCATTTAGGAAACTTCAATTTTTTCAGGAATTCAGTAAGAACATCCATCCATTTTCTATACCGCTTATCCTTCAGGGTCACGGGGAACCTGGAGTCTATCCCAGGGAGCATTGGAGACAATGAGGTTACACCCTGGATGGGGTGCCAATTCATACACACTCACACACTACGGACACTTTGGACACGCCAATCAGCCTACCATGCATGTCCTTGGACTGGGGGAAGAAACCGGAGTACCCGGAGGAAACCCCCGCAGCGCGGGGAGAACATGTAAGCCCCAAACACAGGGCCCCGGTGGGAATCGAACCCCCGACACTGGAGGTGTGAGGCCAACGCGCTAAACGCTAAGCCACAGTGCACCCCAGTAGGAACATATCAGTAAAAAAAACCTAATGAAAGTAACATTATAATTCATAATCATCAGTGTCTAATATGAAATACAGTTCACTAAATACAAATCTAAGTATGCTCTATTTTTGGTCTGTAAATACCAAACCGTCTGCACAATTCCACATGTAAATATTAAAGTCCTGAAGGCATCATTCTTATTTTTTTTTAATACTAAAATACTCTGTGTAGAGTAACAAATAGTTACAGTTTTAATAAAATTCCCAATGAATTATTGAAAAGGACTTGGAATATCTATACTCCGTAATCCTCATTTAAAATGTCAGTATCGGTGAATATGCATACATATGCAAATTAGAAATCGGGTTTGTTTTAATTAAAGCTTCGAGAGTGTCGGAAACAGCGGCATCTGGTGGTTACTAAAAATTAAAGCAGGCAAAAGCCTGTGGAAGAAGCTCAGCCTGATGAAGCAACCACCACACACTCCATAAATAGTTTCAGTGTTATGTGCACAAATAAAGGCCTAACGTGTGTGTGTGTGTGTGTGTGTGTGTGTGTGTGTGTGTGTGTGTGTGTGTGTGTGTGTGTGTGTGTGTGTGTGTTGCATTTCTACCCCTGATAAATTCATTTACCCATTGAAGTGTGGCAATAAGTGCCATTATGAAATAATTTAATTCAGTATGATGTAACAGAAGAATAATGTACACATATATGACTAACAGAGTTGCACACTGTGAGTATTTTGCCTGAAATGATTTGTATCCATTCATGTAAAGAGTCGGACTAAAATGTGAATAAGGACATGGTGTGATGGGATCATCTGGGTATTAAATCTGGCTGTGAGACTTGGCAGTGATAGTGCTTGTGTAACTGTGGGAATGACAGAAAGGTGACAAACTAGTTTTGTTGAGATTTTTATTGAGAAATAAAAGCTGTTTGACAGTGTTAGGGCTATTACCACTGTTAAGTCTATTTCTCCTCTTTGACAGTACTTCCCTTGGCTTAGAGAACACTCTTTCACATGGTACAGAGGAGGCCGGTGTACAAAGACACTGCAATGCCAAAGTGTATAAATTACAATAAACAAAAACAAAAGTGCAACAATTCACCAAGAAAAAAACTAAACACCAAAAACAACAAGTCATTTGTGACACATAGTGATAATAATTAGTAATGATTTAAATGTACACTTTCATCCATCCATCCATTTTCTGCACTGCTTATCCCTACTGGGTCACGGGGAACCTGGAGCCTATCCCAGGAGGCATGGGGCACAAGGCGGTGTACACCCTGGGCACACTCACACACACACAGTCACACACTACAGACACTTTTTGAACATACAATGTATGTCTTTGGACTGGGGAAGGAAACCGGCGTACCTGGAAGAAACCCCGAAGCACAGGGAGAACATGCAAACTCCGCATAAACACAGGGCTGCTGCGGGACTCGAACCCTCAACCCTGGAGGTATGAGGTGAACGAGAAACTGTAGGTGAGAAATACCTAGATTTTGCAGTATGTAAAAGAGTTTTAAAAAATCCCATAATGCAACGGGACTGGTGCAGACCAGACATCCGAATCGGCTCTTTTTAAGTGCTTGCTTAAACAGGACTTGTTTCGCAAAACGCGAATAAACTGTTAACTTGTTGAAGGTTTTGAAGCCAAGCTAATTGCAACTAATTCACCTCATCCTGTTAACCCAGCCACATGCGTTTTGCACACCTTAGTGCGGTTGCTTTAATCCTTGTGCTCCCTTTAAGATTTCTGGGTTTGTGATGACGTCGAAGGTCACATGACAATGCCATGATGGCGGATGTAGTGTAGTTCGTACGGGAACTGTATTCATACTGCACGCAAGTGTGCGAGTCGCGCATGTGATTGGCCAGAAATTGACGTGTTCGTCACCGATCACGTGACTATGTGCAACCAATATAGGACGGAGTTGACGCGTGTTCCACATGTACAGCGACGCGTTAGTGCCGTTACGCAGCTTCATTAGCGTGTGGTTAGAAAGCGGGGTTGAGTTAGATATTTGAACAGGAATAATAATAATTAGGTGGTTTGATATATATATATATATATATATATATTGTGACGTAACAGGTTAACTCACACGGTTACCATAGGGACTCCTACTGGATCCAGGTGAACTCTGCTTCTCTACGCGAAGCTCTTTAATAGTACACGTGGGTGACCCTGAGCGACATTTTGCTCACATCAGCGGTATTTAGTAGCGCGGTTGAGGCTGCTCGCGCTTGGTTGGGTTCCACCGGATATCATGCAGGCCGGACAAAGAGTTACCGCACCCGGTGCGGGATCCGCTGCGAACGGTGCGGTGGAAAACCCTGTCATTCGAGAACTGGTGGACGGGAACGGGGACGAGGACTCCGAGGCGGAATCGTACCAGGACGGCAGGACCGAGGAAGTGGACCGGGAAACCCGGAGACGAGCTTTCACGTGGTGTCGGAATTTCCTGTCCGGCGCGTGGAAGACCATCAGTCTGGAGGACTTCGATATCAGCATCGTAAGGTACGACCACAACGGGGGAAAAGGACAGACCTCATATCCCGCACTCTGGGGACGGCTGATCAATACATCGTTTATTATCGCGATATTATTGGCCTTCGAGATACCGCTGTCACATGCATACACGTATCGATTACACGTTATTGTGTGTGTATGTGTCCTGTCGCACTATGCGGTGAAAACTCCCACACGGCATTAATAGTGTGATTAAGGTGTGTACATGTCCCTAATACACCTCGATAATGCGACTAAAACAGGAATACTCCACACGTCTTAATTCGATTTGTGTTTACTTCGAGTATGACTTTAATCCGATTAAGGTCATCAATAATCGCTATATACATGGTGGTTTCTTAATCAGAATATCGTCTTAATCGGGTTAAGAGTGGATTATTGTTGTCCATGTAAACTCACTGAGTGTAGTGGGAATCAGTAGCTGCGTTTACATGGACAACAATAATCCACTCTTAACCCGATTAAGACCATACTCTGGTTAAGAAACTAGCATGTAAACAGAGATTTTTACTTACCTTAATCTGATTAAGCTCTACTTGAATTAAGAAATGTGGAGTACTCCTGGTTTAGTCACGTTATGGACGTGTATTGCAGACATGTAAACACCTTAATCACATTAGTAACTTCGTGAGAGTTTTCACCGGATTTTGCGACAGGACACGTTCACACACGGCAGTGCTCATCATTTTACGGCGAACAAGTGAGTTCGGCTGCGTCCTAAACCACGTTCTTCCCAACCATAGGCCTGTAGTGGGGGAAAATACATGTATCTCGGCTACTATATAGATGGTAAGTTCGAGACGCAGCCCACGGCTTCAAGCAGTTGTCTTGGAGCAAGACCTTATCCTAATCCAAGAGTTTGTGTATATCAGAGTGACTGATCGATGTCCTCTCAGTAATCCTAATGCAATCTTGTTGTCGTGGGTTTATACGTACAAGGAATTTGTCTTGACGTACACCAGTACAAGTGCGTAACGTTAACAGTAAATATACAGGAAATAAAATGTCAGTAATCTAAACCAGAGAGGAAGTTATAAAAATCCATCTACCCATTTTCTGTACTGCTTGGCCTTCTGGGTCGTGAGGAACCGGGAGCTTATCCCAGGGAGCATTGGGCACAAGGCGGGGGACACCCTGGGCAGGCTGCCAATCCATCGCACGGCTCAGACCCCCATTCATACACTACGGGGACTTTGGACATGCCCATCAGCGTACCATGGATGTCTTCGGACCCAGAGGAAATCCAGTACAGGGGGAACGTGCACACGCAGGGAAGTAATCGAACCCCTGACCCTGGAGGTGTGGGGCGAACGTGCTAAGCCACAGTGCACCCGAAAGTTATGAAAATGTGCTTAAATGTAAAGATTTAGGAAAATAAAAATGGATGTTAACTGTACATTATGCAGGATGTGCAAATGCTCACGGTTTGAAGTAAACAAAGGTGCAGTATAGTGGTCCGAGTTGTGTGCGTTAATGTAACGCATATGGTCTTGATGGACCGCAGCCTCCTGCCTGCGGGGAGTGCCTCTAAAGGTTTGTGTCTGTGGTGAGAGGGGTCAGGCACAAGCTTAACTGCCTGCTTCAGGGTCCTGGAAGTGTACAGGTCATGAAGCATGGCAGATCACCTTCTCAGCCGAGCAGACTGCAGCATGTCATTCGCCCTTGTCCTAGTGGGGTCTGTTTTTATTTTTCCTACCCTTGTTAAATTGTGTGCTGAGAGCACAACTGTTGCTCCATATGCTTGTTTCTGGGAACTCGCCCACGTGACTGAGTGAACAGCGGTCATTTCGACCCACATGACGCAGATGGGTCTTTCAAACGGGGCACGAGTTCACCAGGAAGTTTTGTTCCGTGGCAACGTGAAAGATCATCACGATAAAATGAAAGAATTTGTCCACATGGTGAAGCGCTAATTCCGATGCACGGCTCGCTCCTGTGTTTCTATGTTTGCAGCGGTGGTCTCAGCAACCTCCTCTACAAATGCAGCTTACCCGATAACGTGAATCCCATCGGGGCCGAGCCTGCATGTGTGCTGCTGCGCATCTATGGGGTCATTTTACAGGTAAAATTTAAGCGATGAGGATTATGAGGTGGATAAGAAAATATTTTGTGAAATAATGACATTTGTCTAGTTAAATGCTGCCAGTTATATAAACATGAAATTATTGTTATTATTTATATAATTTAAATACTTTGTTTTGTCCGGTCTATGTAAAGTATATTTTATGTCGGTGAATTAATATTTCTATACTCCACGTCATATTGTGTATGCTCGTGTACTGTATGTGTGTGTATGTGTGTGTGTGTGTGTGTGTGTGTGACAAATAAATACAATTTTAATGTGTTTGTGTGTTTAGGGAGTGGACTCCTTAGTGACCGAGAGTGTGATGTTCGCCATTCTAGCGGAGCGACAGTTGGGTCCTCGTCTCTACGGCATCTTCCCGGAGGGACGTTTAGAAGAGTATCTT